CGAAGCCTGCGTGGTTCCGAAACGTTGGCTATTGAACACAAGTGACATGCTTCATCAATAAAAAGAAAACTTTGGCTTTATTTCCTCCCTTGAGTGCTGGTGATCATCATTGCTGTGTACTCTGTATGAAAATCAAGGTAAAACATGCCAGCTATAACACTCTAATATACAGTACAAATAAATATATAATAATAAGGGTTTTAAACCCCAAGTGGGAGCACGGCAGCCCCTCACGGAGTTACCGCATTCCGTCCAGCCTCTGAGTCATAAGAGTTGGAATGTTCAAATGTATGAAAACTAACCTGCCGACATCCAAGGCAGCTGCCAGGAGCCACGGCTTCCAGGACTTCTGACCCCACACAGCTAAGCCTGCCACTGTGAGCTATGGGTTAAGTTTTAATACACAATAAAGTTTGCCAGAGCCGGATTTATCATTAGTCTCCGTTTACCTACGGGCGTATCGTGAACGTGCGTCAAATGCACAGAAAAGTGTTCATGATATGTACATAAATGTGGAACACGCATGCGTTGCCATTACTAAGGAAATTACACCCCAAACACGGCAGAGCAAATGCGTCTTTACCATGCGCGTTTGCAGAATGCATGCGTAATTAACTACTTTTCCACTTTTGGTGCGCATCCAGGGACCCAATGGTGATGTGCGCCAAATGCAGGAAACAAAGGGCCACAAACACGGGGGAACGCTCCTGTCTTATGCTGGATTCCGGATCAGTTCAGAAAGAGATATACAAAAGACACCAAGATTTAAGTAAGAATTCTCCTGCTTCTTGCATGTATACAATGTTTGTTTAGCCTGGATTGTAGATTTAAAGCCCATTTCCACCTTTGTAGAGGTATTTAAAAAAAACACATGCCAGCAATGTACACAGAGGCCACATGAAGCAGGCATATGTAGTTGCTCTATATGAACACAGAAATGTATTTTGTTGGATTCATTAGTATTGCAACCCCCCCGGATGGTGTATTGTGTGCAAAGGCAGAGCTGGTGTTTAGTGAGCGTGTTACACAGCATCACCGGGAGGGGGGCAGACTGAATTTCCTGCGGAGAAAAGTTTGAATTTCTAGGATTCAGGCCTAATAAAAAGTTAATTGAAAAAATGAAGACAGCCTGCAGTGCGAGTCATGAAAATGCGCACACATATACATCATCACTGCACCTCTACATTACCACATAAATGGCAATCACTTACAAAAGGTGCAAATGGACAGTTTTTAGAGTCCGGAGCACAATAACTTTGCCGAAACTATATGCGATTTTGAAGGCAAGTGGGGGAGTCATTAGGGATCGTGAACGGTAAGGGAGGAGCCTGCTTCTCTCACATTTACATTTTTGCATGCATTCAGACATCATTACGGTCCATGTTTCAGTTGAATATTGGATTGCCCCTAAACAAAGTTTCAATGGCTGAGCGGTGAGGTAAAAAAGGAACAGGTCAATATTCTAGTGTTCAAGAAGCATTAGACGCTGGTCGTCAGGCGCGGTGTGTTAGAACGTGTGAAAGGATACGGTGAGTGATTGGGCGCAGTATGTGAACTGTTTCCGCTAAAGCGCCCAGAGTCCCAAACTCGGTGGGTGATGCATTGCCGTCATCTGGACCGTTCCCCTGCTTTCCATCTAGAACCTGAGGGCTTCGCCAAAACCGACTGCGGCCGGAGGGAGCTGAAAGTAAAGAGAACAAAAAAAATATGACCGATAAAATACTTCAGATGTAAGAAAACTGGGCACAAAATAAATGAGTTGGTATAAGACCTTTAGTAAATATATGAAGGATATTATAGTGCTGTACAAGTTTGAGCTAGAGGTAGTGAGTGTGGGAGAGATGTTCCTCTACGCAGAATGTCAGCTCTCACAGCACATCGTTCACTCATAGCAGAGCCATTTATTGATCACAGTGTAAAGAGATGGTTTAGAGCATATAGTGCCTTCATCACGCAGCTCCGTTCATCACATGGCCCCTTCATCACGCAGCTCCGTTCATCACATGGCCCCTTCATCACGCAGCTCCGTTCATCACATGGCCCCCTTCATCACGCAGCTCCATTCATCATATGGCCCTCTTCACCATATAGCCCCCTTCATCATATAGCCCCTTCATCACGCAGCTCCGTTCATGACATGGCCCCCTTCATCATGCAGCTCAGTTCATCACATGGCCCCCTTCACCATATAGCCCCCTTCATCATATAGCCCCTTCATCACGCAGCCCCCTTCACCATATAGCCCCCTTCATCATATAGCCCCCTTCATCATATAGCCCCCTTCATCATATAGCCCCCTTCATCATATAGCCCCCTTCATCACACAGCTCCGTTCACCACATGGCCCCCTTCATCACGCAGCTCCGTTCATGACATGGCCCCCTTCATCATATAGCCCCTTCATCACGCAGCTCCGTTCATGACATGGCCCCCTTCATCATGCAGCTCAGTTCATCACATGGCCCCCTTCACCATATAGCCCCCTTCATCATATAGCCCCTTCATCACGCAGCCCCCTTCACCATATAGCCCCCTTCATCATATAGCCCCCTTCATCACCCCCTTCATCACGCAGCTCCGTTCATGACATGGCCCCCTTCATCATATAGCCAATTCATCACGCAGCTCCGTTCATCACATGGCCCCTTTCATCATATAGCCCCTTCAACACGCAGCTCCGTTCATGACCTGCCCCCTTCATCACGCAGCTCCGTTCATCACATGGCCCCTTTACCACGTAGCCCCCTTCATCATATACCTTCTTTACACAGCCCCGTTCGTCACACAGTTCCCTTCCTGACACAGATCCCTTCGTCATATAGCCCCTTTACCACGTAGCCCCCTTCATCGTATACCTTCTTTACGCAGCCCCCTTCATCACACGGCCCCCTGCCTAATGAAGGGCCTATATGCTCCGCAATGTCACTTTACACTGTGATCAATAAATAGCTGTGCTTTCATCTAAAGATGTGCTGGTGAGACTTGATGCTTTGAGCACACTGGACTGAGCTGCCCTCCACTTTGCACCACTACAGAACTCGATGTCATTGCACCGGGGATTTGTCTGGTGTGTATTCTTTATACACCAATGTTTCTACATAGGACACGTTTCGGGTTGTATGGTGGCCGGTTTGAAATTTCTGAATGGAAAACATTTTTTTTTTTTACAAAATGTTGTACATTTTCTGTAATAAGTGCCACTGAAGTCGGAAACTTGTCACACAGCAGGAAGTGCGGCAGTCTCTAGCGCAGCTTCCTTCCCTCCTGCAGGGAGAAAGCGAACTTGCAGAATGATACATGTACTGCACACTGCCAAGTTTACATTACTAGTTATAGGTCAATAAATATTATATATTGTGTATTGGGAGTTCAGCTTCGGTCTAGAGGAGGTGAGGAAGCTTCAAATCAGACCGCCGCTCAGCTTCCCCGCCACTTAGGGCTCATGCACACGGGTGTATTAAAATACCGCCATCTATGCTGGAACTTTCCATCAGAAGCTGTGTGTGTACATTAAATTAGAATGCCAGGCAAAACTTTAAATAACCCTTGCGGTGGGGCTACACCCGCACTGCAAGGGTTAACTACTCATTTTAGTCTAGGGAGGAAAATAAGTTCTACTCACCCGATTCTCGGAGCCAACTGGTCCCTGGAGCCTCTCCCCCTCCTCTGCTGCAGCGGTCTAAGGTCCCCGAGTCATTACGTTCTATACACAATGAGGGGAATTTATCAAAACTGGAGCAGTTGTCCATGGCAACCAATCAGCTTCTCTTTTTCATGGTTGCCATGCACAGCTAATCCGGATTTTGTCTGCTCTAGTTTTAATAAATTCTCCCCAATGTGTAGGACGTGAGGACGCTGAGGGACATACCATCACTGCAGCGAAGAAGAAGACAGGCAGGAGGGAGCGCTGTCACAGCTGGATAAGTGTAAGTTTTTTCTTTTCCTCCCTAGACCATGCAAGGACCTGCCCGATTGGATGGATTAGGTGGGTCCCCCATGGCATAAATTTGGTAAACCTAAAATTGATAGTACAAAAACTGTATGGTCAGATTGTAACATGCACGGTGACCCTAGCATGGTCAGAAAAGTAAACGTGGCCTTTAAACTTACTATTATCCAGGGACCGCACGCAACGTTTTGTGCGCTTCCCTACAAAGTAAGTGTCCTGTTTGCCGTGGTCCTCTTCTCCTGAAAGAGATATGGTGGGATCTCACTACACTGTACAACACAAGGATAGCTCTTCCACCTCCACCGTCCCAGCCATACCAAACACAATTACTCAATGTAGATATTGGATTTCATAGACTGAAAAGAAAGGGTGGAAACAATCATCAACAATACATAACTATGGTTCAGTACTAGGGAGCTTTAAAAGGAGAACTATGAGGCGAGTGAAAATCAGTCATCCTCATAGTTCCAGCCGACGTGTGACAATGAAACTGTCACACGTCGGCTCAATAGATCGGGAAGTGAGCGAACACATATCGTCGCTCGCTCACTTCTCGATCCTGTGCCTGCAGAGAGTTGTGACTGTCACTCACGGCTCCCTGCAGGGATTCCCACCCTCCCCGCTCCGATCCTCCAGCGCTGACTGGCGGAACGGACGGGGGAGGGGGCGGGTACAGCTGGCTTTGCCTCTAGATTGACAGCTGGCTCTGCCTCTCACGCAGCTGGGTGGATCCAGACAGTAATGTCGGGATCTGTCCCGGCTGCGGCGTCTCAGTATACCGCGAGCTCTAGCTCGCGATATACTGAGCTTTGGGTGACGGGAGGACGCTAGTTTGTGTCTTCCTGTTACCCTTAGAACTATGGGGAAAAGCACTGACCCCATAGTTCTCCTTTAATACTTTCTAAGTCACTCACCCAGAAGCAAGCAGGCAGCCAGTGAAGGGAGAACTCCTAATATCCATAACTAATTAAAAGTAATGCATTGAAATCAGAGGATCGGAGTGCCAACCAGGAAACAGATGTATTCAGAAGTCAAGTTAAAAGTTTAAAATGACACAATATAGGTGATATGATGGTCTTGTATCTAAACCCTTGCTAAAATGATGACATGTTTATAAAATGTTTGTATGATCTCTATATGGTATATATGTGTTCATTGACGGATTCTTTATATTGTTTACATTATAAACATTATCTATTGTTTACATTATAAACTAATCTATTGCCATATTGAGGTTACATGCGAGTAATGGGAGGTTCTGAATATCGTGCAGGTACATAGTACTGCCACTAGATGGCGACCCACCCTTTCATTCATAGGCTTCAAGTGATCCCAATCATGGCGACTCACCATCACATGTGGGCATTACCATATTTTCTATACTTTCCAATACTTTCCTATTCTCAGGAAGCTATGTACAGCGCCCTGCCGCTTCCTCTGACCAGCCATGGAATGAAAACAGAAAGGAGAGACAGACAGGACCAGGGAAGGTCCAATATAAGCAGATTCAATATTCTTATAGAGAAGTATGTGGGAGTGGGGGTTGGTATTAACTCTTTCCCCGCCAGGCCCTGTACTCCACTTTTGACCTCAGGTGGACAGACCCATTTTCACTTATAGCTTTCATTTGTACAAGACCCCCTGCCAAACATTTTCTGAAGACACAGGAATAAAAAAGATGGTGCTGCGGGTTCTGGAGGTTTCCGTAACGGTCACGCAAATGTTTATCAACAGAACATTTTCATAAAAATACAACAAAATCTTTATTAACACACGACGACAACAGACTCTGATGGGCACTCCCGAATGTAAGGGGGGGGGAGGATGCCATGAGGGACTCAGATGGGCACCCCCCCGGGATGCCATGAGGGACTCAGATGGGCACCCCCCCGGGATGCCATGAGGGACTCAGATGGGCACCCCCCCGGGATGCCATGAGGGACTCAGATGGGCACCCCCCCGGGATGCCATGAGGGACTCAGATGGGCACCCCCCCGGGATGCCATGAGGGACTCAGATGGGCACCCCCCCGGGATGCCATGAGGGACTCAGATGGGCACCCCCCCGGGATGCCATGAGGGACTCAGATGGGCACCCCCCCGGGATGCCATGAGGGACTCAGATGGGCACCCCCCCGGGATGCCATGAGGGACTCAGATGGGCACCCCCCCGGGATGCCATGAGGGACTCAGATGGGCACCCCCCCGGGATGCCATGAGGGACTCAGATGGGCACCCCCCCGGGATGCCATGAGGGACTCAGATGGGCACCCCCCCGGGATGCCATGAGGGACTCAGATGGGCACCCCCCCGGGATGCCATGAGGGACTCAGATGGGCACCCCCCCGGGATGCCATGAGGGACTCAGATGGGCACCCCCCCGGGATGCCATGAGGGACTCAGATGGGCACCCCCCCGGGATGCCATGAGGGACTCAGATGGGCACCCCCCCGGGATGCCATGAGGGACTCAGATGGGCACCCCCCCGGGATGCCATGAGGGACTCAGATGGGCACCCCCCCGGGATGCCATGAGGGACTCAGATGGGCACCCCCCCGGGATGCCATGAGGGACTCAGATGGGCACCCCCCCGGGATGCCATGAGGGACTCAGATGGGCACCCCCCCGGGATGCCATGAGGGACTCAGATGGGCACCCCCCCGGGATGCCATGAGGGACTCAGATGGGCACCCCCCCGGGATGCCATGAGGGACTCAGATGGGCACCCCCCCGGGATGCCATGAGGGACTCAGATGGGCACCCCCCCGGGATGCCATGAGGGACTCAGATGGGCACCCCCCCGGGATGCCATGAGGGACTCAGATGGGCACCCCCCCGGGATGCCATGAGGGACTCAGATGGGCACCCCCCCGGGATGCCATGAGGGACTCAGATGGGCACCCCCCCGGGATGCCATGAGGGACTCAGATGGGCACCCCCCCGGGATGCCATGAGGGACTCAGATGGGCACCCCCCCGGGATGCCATGAGGGACTCAGATGGGCACCCCCCCGGGATGCCATGAGGGACTCAGATGGGCACCCCCCCGGGATGCCATGAGGGACTCAGATGGGCACCCCCCCGGGATGCCATGAGGGACTCAGATGGGCACCCCCCCGGGATGCCATGAGGGACTCAGATGGGCACCCCCCCGGGATGCCATGAGGGACTCAGATGGGCACCCCCCCGGGATGCCATGAGGGACTCAGATGGGCACCCCCCCGGGATGCCATGAGGGACTCAGATGGGCACCCCCCCGGGATGCCATGAGGGACTCAGATGGGCACCCCCCCGGGATGCCATGAGGGACTCAGATGGGCACCCCCCCGGGATGCCATGAGGGACTCAGATGGGCACCCCCCCGGGATGCCATGAGGGACTCAGATGGGCACCCCCCCGGGATGCCATGAGGGACTCAGATGGGCACCCCCCCGGGATGCCATGAGGGACTCAGATGGGCACCCCCCCGGGATGCCATGAGGGACTCAGATGGGCACCCCCCCGGGATGCCATGAGGGACTCAGATGGGCACCCCCCCGGGATGCCATGAGGGACTCAGATGGGCACCCCCCCGGGATGCCATGAGGGACTCAGATGGGCACCCCCCCGGGATGCCATGAGGGACTCAGATGGGCACCCCCCCGGGATGCCATGAGGGACTCAGATGGGCACCCCCCCGGGATGCCATGAGGGACTCAGATGGGCACCCCCCCGGGATGCCATGAGGGACTCAGATGGGCACCCCCCCGGGATGCCATGAGGGACTCAGATGGGCACCCCCCCGGGATGCCATGAGGGACTCTGGTAATCTGTGACTTTGTACTGTACAGGGACCATACCTGGGTAGTTCAGACCTCCTCGGTCCACAGGAGTAACAGGAGGAGAATTCTGTATGCCAGATTTATACCAGAATAGAAGCACTATACGTAGACAGGCCCTGACGGGAGAGAGAGGTCAGAGGTCAAAATGAGACATTTAGAATTTTTTTACATTTTGGTATATTTTCGGTTACCCTTATGCTTTGAGTCTCAGTCCAGATTTGTTTTGCGTCACAGTGTAACCTAGCGCCCCCTAATGTCAGGTTTACATATATTTTAATCTTATACAATTCTTAAAGCTGAGCTCTGACCTTTCCTTGTAAAGTTGTCCCTACTCTCCTGGACTGATATTGCTTACTCAGATTTCACTGCATACTGCGAGCTTCTCACAATGTGCATTAGAAGCTGCAGCAAGTCAGAGAGAACCCGACTCATTTCCTGGCTGGTCAAACAGCATCATCTAGCTCTTTCCTTCCGTGTCTGACTGTCCCTGGCCCGCCCCTTTTAATATACTTTACTCCCTATGTGTATGGATGTCAAGCAGATTTCAAGAGTATCTCTGGCCAAAAAAATAACAATAGATCTGTATTTCTATACGTTGTATCCCCACTCCTAATAACCACTCCTAATAACCAGATCCATCAAGAAGTTTGTAAACTTACTTATTGAAGATGCCCATAGGATGGACTTCCTCAATGTACTGACACAATGTCACTCAGCCCTGTGAATATGAACTTCCTGGTGTCACCACTCACACAGAGCTGTCTTCTGGTCTACAACTCAACATGCTGGAAGCAATGCATGATGGGACATGTAGTCTAGGGAAATGGAGATTGCATCACATCAAGCAGCAGGGAAAAAGACGCAAAGCACACTGGGAATCCAGGAAGTTGATGGAAGTGATGGGCAGACAGAAGGCAGCACTCACTACTAGTGATGGGCTCGGGTGTGTTCGCAGCTCCACGTGCCGAGCCCGCCAGGAAGGTGACACCGCCAATCACAGGCACTGAGACATTATCCCGGTCTGCAGCTGCAGAGATTGGGAAATGTCTCAGTACCTGTGATTGGCGCTGTCAGCTTCCTGGCGGGCTCGGCACGTGGAGCTGCGAACACGCCCGAGCCCATCACTACATAAAAGGGATTTTTCCAAGTAAGCTTTGGTTGCATAATTAAAAACATCTCTACTATGTATTCCTATTACAATGCTGATGTCATAACAGGAGAGGATATGCTGGGACTTTACAGCTCCTTTACTGACAAGATTCCGGCCTTACTTGAGCAGCTGGATAAGTAGAATGGCCACCCATTTCGTCCGATCACCCCACACTCTTGCCGACCCGATTTCAAGGAAGACCTCTAGGCTCTCCAAGACTCCGAGCCAGTTGAGCAGGCGCTGCCGGGGACCGTCCTGTAAACGGAGGACAGAACAAGGGGATGATGATGAAATGGGGGCAGAACAGGGAGAAAATGAGTCACATTGACTTAAAGGAGAACTATGGGGTTAAGTCTTTTCCCCATAGTTCTCCTTAGGGTAACGGGAGGACACAAACTAGCGTCCTCCCGTCACCCTAAGCTCAGTATACCGCGAGCTGTTGCTTGCAGTATACTGAGACGCCGCAGCTGAAGCGGATCCCGACAATTATGACGGGATCCGCCCAGCTGCTTGACTGACAGCTGGCTCTGCCTATCTAGAGGCAGAGCCAGCTGTACCCGCCCCCTCCCCCGTCCGTTCCGCCAGTCAGCGCTGGCGGATCGGAGCGGGGAGGGGGGAATCCAGCCCCTCTCCTGTCACGGCAGAGAGCCGTGACAGGATCGAGAGGTGAGCGAACGCCGGTATGTGTACGCTCACCTCCCGATCTACTGAGCCGACCTGTGACAGTCTCATTGTCACAGGTCGGCTAGAACTATGAGGTGAGTGAAAAGCACTCACCTCATAGTTCTCCTTTAATAGGTTACAAAGAACTAGAGAGGTGAAGAGCTAACAATCCAATATCTCTGGTACTCTGAACCAGCTGAACACGCCATTGAAATCCATAGATGTGAACTAATTCTGTTTGGCCGGCTTGGCTTGTACCAGTTGCTGACTGATTGCTGTGCAAACACATTTCAATGCCCCGATAACGGTGTGTTGCTTCAATTCCTAACTCAGCCCCCCCCCTGCCATATACCAAGGTGACCGTGGAAGCCCTACAGTGTGCAGAAAATGCCTCCGGGAGTCATGTTGTGCCTGTCAGAGTCTTGCAATGCCTCATGGGAATTGTAGTTGCCACAACTGGCCGGTCGCAGTTTGGCCTCCGCTGTCTATGGTATGCCCACACTCTCTGACAGTCTTATGCAGCATTACATGTTCTGGCTGTGTGTGGCCCTTTGGCGATGTCGGGGGGCCCCTTGTATTTTGACCTCCAATGATCTAAATGCCTCACGTTCAGTTTAGACTTCAGGGCATCTTTAGGCCTCATTCACGCGAGTAATGGCCGGCCCACACATACAGCTCCGTGCACGGCCGTATCGAGCCGCTCCCGGGAAGGACAGGTGCTGTGTGTGATTAGTACGCAGCCCTCGTCCTTCTTTATGGGACTACGTGGCCGTAAGCCGCCCTACGCTCACCCCAAGTGCAGGTCCATACGGGTGTCTCGGCTCGGACACAACGCAGAGCGGCGGACGGCCGCGTAGTCCCATAGAGAAGGACAGGGGCTGCGTACTAAATCACACGCAGCACCTGTCCTTCCCTAGAGCTGCCCGATATAGCCGTGCATGCCGCACAGAGCTGTACATGCCGGCCTTTCCTCATGTGAATGAGGCCTTAAGCTATCCATGAGCAGTACTCACAGTGGGGGGAGGTTTCAGCAGCTCTTTCCTTAGGATCCCGTCATTCAGTAACACCAGAAGATTGGAAGATGAATAAACTGACAAAGAAAAAAACATTTTAAAGACACCAGAAGAAGCAGCAGCCAATGGGCTCAAATTATAATATCTATCCCCCCCATTCCCAGATCTCATTGTAATATATCCCCCCCAGCTGGGTCAGAGCAACTCCATAACTTTACCTCTTGTGGGATGTTCCCGGTCTGCAGTGGTCAGGGCTGACCAAAAGTGGTCCAAGGAAGGAGAACCGGTGACCGGCAACAGGGTTATTGGCGGCCAATGCTCATTGATACACACAGGGAGAGAAGTCTGGCCCATGTAGTCCGATCCAATAGAAGAGCTTCTGAAGCTCCAATTGCTGAAAAGGTTACTGCTGGTTCTGATAGAAAGGAGTCTGAACACACAGAGCGTCGCAGTTTGTTGTGTATGGGGCTTGGTAGCCAGAGACTGGTCAGGGTGCCGATGCTGACGGGTGTCAACCACCAAAAGTTCCTACAATGGGCATGTGAGAATCAGAACTGGACCACGGAGCGGTGGAAGAAGGAGGCCTGGTCTGATCGTGTTTTCTTTCACATCATGTGGATGGCCGGGTGCGCGTGTGTCGCTTACCTGGGGAAGAGATGGCACCAGGATGCACTATGGGGAGAAGACAAGCCGGCGGAGGCAGTGGGATTCTTGGACAATGTTCTGCTGGGAAGCCTCGGGTTCTGCCATTCATGTGGATGTAACTTTGACACAAACCACCGACCTAAACATTGTCACTGACCAAGTACACCCCTCTCATGGACATGGTATTCCCTGATGGCAGTGGCCTCTTTCAGGAACAGGACAATGATTTCAAGTTGTTGATATGACCTCCAGATCTCAATCCCATCGAGCATCTGTGGGATGTGCTGGAAAAACAAGTCCGATCCATGGAGGCCGATCACCTCGCAACTTGCAGTATGTGCTACTGATGGTGCCAGACACCACAGCACACCTTCAGAGGTCTAGTGGAGACCATGCCCAGACGGGTCAGGAAAAGGGGGACCTACTCAATATGAGGCGGGTGGTCATAATGTTATGGCAGATCGGTGTCTATGTTGATCTCTTATTCCTGTACTCCACAAAGCTTTGCTATCATAAGCCCCGAGGGAAGGGGGACTGGTGAGCCCCTCGAAATGCGTTAGCTGTGTTTTCTCTGATCTTTGCACTGAGATCAGTAATGCTTCACTGGACCTTTCATGCGTTTGTGGATCTCTCACACATTCTACGCGGGCCGCCATGGCGGTGGTTCTGCAGCTGAGCGCCTGCCAAATCCAATCCACCGCAAGTCCCCGGAGACCCCAACATCTAAATGTAAATACATCGCCTTCCCTTAAGGGGCGGACTACAGCAACACAAAGCAAAGATCGTACTCACCCAGCTCAGACAGCTCGTGGGAGTCCGTGAATCGCCCTGATGAAGAGAGAAAGGGAAGTGTTAGAGGGGAAAGTATCAGGGGGACACAATGAACTGTTGAGTTGTATTTGATTGGCTGTCATTGGCTGGCGCACATCACTGCTCTGTATGTAAAGAAGACCAGACGGCTTCAATATGCTAAACCCAACAATAACAATGGCCTAGATTATCAATGGCCTAGATTATCAATGGTCTAGATTATCAATGGTCTAGATTATCAATGGTCTAGATTATCAATGGCCTAGATTATCAATGGCCTAGATTATCAATGGTCTAGATTATCAATGGCCTACATTATCAATGGCCTACATTATCAATGGCCTACATTATCAATGGCCTACATTATCAATGGCCTACATTATCAATGGCCTACATTGTAAACGGTTTAGATTGCATATGTCACAGATTATCAATGGCCTAGATTACAGCTCCTTAGATGTGGTAGCTGCATTCATTTTCATGGTCTATTTCCAATATGGTGATCCTGCCAGTAACACACTTCCTGTCTTAGGGTGACAACGCTGACTCACTGTATCTATGGAGGAGCAGAGTTGTCACCCTAGGATGGGAAGTTTTAAAAAGGTACTATAGAAGACCTTCCCCCTCACCTTGGGAGGTGTTCTGTAGTCCACAGGTAGAACTGGGAACAATGTCAACACCAGAGAGCACTGGGGGCAGTTATGTGTACTGTGTTAATGTTTATTTGGGGAATGAGTGGGGGTAACAACTAACGCTTATTCACGAGGAAGGGGGGGGGGGCAGCATGGGGTGCCCCCTTTGTAAGGGGCCACCTAGATTCACATAAGCCCCAATGCCTGCAGACCCCACAACCACCGGGCCAGGGTTGTGGGGAGGAGGTTCTTGTCCTCATCAACATGGGGACCCAACCCCATGCTGGAGGCAAGTGGCCTGGTATGGTGCAGGAAGGGGGTGCACGATTGCCCCTCTGCCAGGCCGCTGCTCGGATCAAGGGTCTGGTGAGGGATTTTGGGGAGCCCACACCCCTGTTTTATTTTTATTAATTTTCAAGTTTAACATTGATGGCAAATAAACTCGTCAGTCCGCTGTCTCCCCTTTCAGTGTTTAGTCACGGGGGTAATGGGAACCTGTACGGGGAAACTGCAGCAGAGGGGTCCCCTGCCCTTCCAGCTGCTGTTTGGCAGAGCTGTATACATCTCAGGACCGGATGGATATGTATTTAGCTCTTTGCCTGGAGTCCGGCTTCGAAACCCAGGACCGCCCCTGTGTTCAGCTACAGTCCAGGGGTAGGCAACCTCGGCTCTCCAGCTGTGCTGAAACTACAAATCCCATAAGGCATTGCAAGCCACAGGCATGACTCCCAGAAGCATAATGGGATTTGTAGTTTCAGCACAGCTGGAGAGCCAGGGTTGCATACTCCCTGAGCTACACCGTACCAGGGGCAGGCAACCACGGCACTGCAGCTGTTGCAGAACTACAAGTCCCATGAGGCATTGCAAGACTCTGACAGCCACAGGCATGACTCCCAGTAGCAGAGGCATGGAGGGATTTGTAGTTTCAGCACAGCTCTAGTGTTAGGTAGGTCCTTTGGTAAATCTGAAGGAGATTGTGCAATCTGATTGTATAGTGCAGCGCGGGATGAGAAGGATGGGGCGTTGTCGTCATGGCGACACATGTCCTTGTGGCTGGCGGTGAAGGGAGGCGGCAGTATGGAAGAGGGGTAAGGTTCAATCGGTGGCAGTACATGGGTGTCACAGTGCTGCATGTGCTGGGCCCCCTCTACAGATCACATACCTGCGATCAGGTAGGACAGCATGCGGACGCCCCCCTCCAGCTGAGTGGCCCCGGTGGGGTTCTGGACGACGAACTCCTTGTACCTGCGGATCAGCTCCTCCAGCTTCTCCCAGTGGCGAGCTGCCATCCTGCTCCCCCTGCTTCAGCTCTTCCTGGTCACAGACATTTAGCAGCCTCTAGGCCACGCCCTCATGTGGGAGGAGATTACAAGATTAACCCCTGGTCTCCTGGACACTTTTGTGTTATTGTGCTGGGGAAGGGGGATGCATTCGTGCCATGGCACAACGCAGGATCGCAGCACGCTAAAACCGCACGGAAACAATTTATAAAGCTGGCCACATGGGCTGCCCAGCTGTCATGCTGATCCTCTGGATTACAATATTTTTTGGGCTCAATGAATCAGAACACACACACATGCAGATCAGGTCTTTTGACTTAACTCAGACATCAGGTGCTGCATGGGTGAATCAGCAAGTAATAAAGCCAGAGGATCACCATGACAACGGCAATGGTGATTCTCTGGCTTCAGTAATGGCAGCCTTGATCTCTTTCCATACACCTCAAAGAAGGACAGCAATCACACAGCCGCCTTCCCTCACATCAGCAGCTTATATCATCATTGCTGCTGCCCAGCTCAGTCATGCAAAGTGCTGTAACCCATGGCAACCAATCAGATTCTAATTCGTGCCATGGCTTTATTTAAAAAGGGGGGATGATTATCAGGTTTTTTTTCTTTCAAGAAGGTTTATATTTTTATTTTGTTATACAATACACTGCAAGATACAAGTACAAGAGATGCATACATTTATGCGTGTTGATAGGACTAATGTTTTTATTAGAATCCCTGAGCGTTCTCCGCCTGTGCTATTGTAACGTCGCCTTTAAGAGGAGAGATTAACCTCGAGAAGGCCACGCCCCTTCGTCTGATCGACAGGCCAAAGTCCCTGGAACAAGGGACGCATGCGCGTCACTTTCACTTGGTCTGGTCTTGAGTCAGGCAGGTGAAGTGATTGCCGAGCGCATCGAGTGCGAAGGAGCTTTATGATAGTGACTGGATACCGGGCTGTGAGAGAGAGCGGAGCCGACACCGGAGCCCGGGGAACGAGGAGGAGGCGATGGAGGACAGTGTGTGAGCGGGGGACAGAGCCAGAGGTGAGAGCTCTGACACTGCTAGTGGGGGCAGTGTGTGCTGGACATGGGAGCAGGGTCTGCGGTGCAGAATATGGGGGTGACATATTGAGGGTCAGTATATGGGGTACAGGATAATATATGGTGGCATGGATGGCAATATTTTGGATTGGACAGACTGGCTCCTGGTTGGCTTATTAATTTGTCCACTCCTGGGGTACAGCATATGCTAGGTGCAACAGATCAGTATAGTGGGGTGCAGTTTATGATGGGCCATGAGGGCAGTATATTGGGGTGCAGTATATGGGGTAAATGTCAGCAGTGTATCGCTGTACAGTATGATGGGGACATAAAGGCAGTATATGGTGTTGGCACCATATATGGGGCATACCCCAGTTATGATGGGGTAAATGTAGGCAGTGTATCACTGTACAGTATGGTGGGGGCATGAGGGCAGTGTATGATGTGGGCATGAGGGCAGTATATTGGGGTGCAGTTATGGGGATATGAGGGCAGTATATTGGGGTGCAGTATATGGGGGCAGTGAATCACTGTAGAGTATGGTGGTGACATGAGGGCAGTATAGGGCAGTATATGGTGGAGCCATGGGGGCAGTATATTGGGGTGCAGTAAATGGGGTAAAGATCAGCAGTGTATCACTGTACAGTATGGTGGGGACATGAGGGCATTATATTGGGTTACAGGAAATAGTGTGGACATGAGGGCAACATTTTTGGGGTGCAGTGTATGGTGGAGACATGAGAGCAGTATGGTGGGGGGCGTGAGGGTAGTGTATTGGGGTACAGTATATGGTAAGGACAAGGGAGCATTGCATTGCTGTACGGCATATGGTGGAGAAATGGGAGCAGTGTATCAGGGTACAGTATAAGTATGGTAGGTAAAAGGGGACAGTATTTATGGGGGTACAGTATAAAGTTAAAACATGGGAGCAGTGTATTAATGCACATTATATGGTTGGAATGTGGAGGCAGTATATTGGGGTACAGTATATGGTGTAAATGGGAGCAGTATATGGCGGGGACATGTGGGCAGAATATTGGGGTACAATATATGGTAACGACATGGAGGCAGTATATCGGGGGAACTGTATCGGGTCAGGACAAAGCAGTATATTGGGGTGCAGTATATTGGGGAAATGTCAGCAGTGCATCATTGGGGTACAGTATATGGTGGAGGCATGAGGGCAGTATATTAGGGTACAGTATATAGTAAGGACATGTGGGCAGTACTGTATATTGGGGTGCAGTATATGATGGGGACATGTGGGCTCTATATTGGGGTACCGTATATGGTAGGCACATGTGGGCAGTATACTGGTATTGGGGTGCAGTATATGGTGACATAAGGATAAAACATAGGAGTACAGTATCTGATGGATATAGGAACATTATATATGGAGGATATAAAATCAACATATTGGGGTTCAGCATATGATTGGTGTGTGCTGTACACTGTGTAGACACGAGAGCAGTATTTGGGGCACATTGTATGTATGTATCATTATATAGGGGTTCATTATATGAAGTACATGTGGGTATTGTGTATCTGAGCGCAGGATCTGGAAGTTTATATGAAGACCGGGCTTATGGAGACTATTGCAGGACTGCATTCTGGGTATACGGGGTACCCCAATGCCCAGAATATGCCCCTCAGTGTAATGGAATGCAGCAAGCGGAGACGTTTAAAGTATTGGGGTACAATGTATAAAAGACACGGGATCATTGTATACATCGGGTGTGGGGAGACATTGTATCAGAATGTATCGCCATGGATACAATACACAATGTCCTGAAGACATGATAGGGGTTCAGTAAGGTGTGCAGAGAACGATGATGAGAGTTCAGTATTTATCATCGGGGGCCAGCATGCAGAAGAAGTCATCTGGCTGAACACCAGACCTGAGATTGGTTTTATTATGATGGCGGCAGGGGGCCCCGTACATGATGATGGTAGTGGCAGGTAGGGGGCCCCGTACATGATGATGGTAGTGGCAGGCAGGGGGCCCCATACATGATGGCACTGAACCTGGAAGAATATTATTTGCCCCGTCTGTCTGCGTGGGGTCACCTCCACGTCACGTTTTATGAACGCGGCTTTCTGTGTGACTTCCTTCATTCTGTGATGGCCGTCACCAGATCCGAATAATTTGCCGCGGTCAGCGCCACGAAGAGACTTAATTGCATGCTGAATAATTTCGGATTGGCAAATTAAATTCCACTTCCCACTCCGTTCATCCCCCGCACAGGGAATGGCAATTATCTACTCTCTTTTATAATGCAAACCCCCCCCACCCCTCTCTCTCTCTGTAGCTGGGAACATTGCAGAGCGCGGGTACAAGTGACAACATACTTGAAGAAACCTGGAGAGCCTCCGTGTCGATTCGTATCCAATCTTTGTGTGATGACAATCTTTAATACATTTTCTTTTTTGTTTTCAGTACCGAAGGGGGATTTTTAAAACTTTTCTCTCAGGGTGTCAGAAACTGCAGAACCAGCACTCAAAGAAAATCACAGCTGACCCGTTTCGGCCTTACTCGGCCTTAGTCATAGCAGCCCAGCTCTGACTAAGGGCGAGTAAGGCCGAAACGAGTTAGTGTTTTTTGGGGGGTTTTTTTTTTTTGGTATAGATGTGTGTGGAATAAAGTTTTTTTTTTTTAAATTTTTTTTAAATTTTCTTTTGGAGAACTTTGTGTGCTGGTTCTGTAGCTTTTGAGACTTTTGTTCTAGAAGAGGAATATCCGTGCACTGAATGTTGATTGCATGACAGGGGTGAGCTGTGCGTTTTGTGTTTCTAGTCTACTCTCGGGTTGCATTCATAGCAAAACCAGAAGGTACTCGCAGGTCAACGGAGGGTCCATTGATTTGCACCTTTCGGTTTCCTTCTGATCTCATGCGTTCTGTCACATTTTTTTTCTTCTTGCAAGCTTTATATGAAGTAACATGTCCTGAGTGGACATGCTTCTGTGTAATAGCTTGTGACGCGTCGCGTTAGTGCGTGGTAACACAGGATTGGAAACGTTGTGTTGCGCTGAAAAGAAGTAGACCGTGCCCCACTGTTTTTTTCTTCAGTGCAACGTACAACAACGCAACACAGCGGTGTGAACTGTCCCATTCATACCTATTAATTTTTTCGTTTCCCCTTTCTTCAACATCCATTAAAAAAATCTGGTGTGATTTGCGGCCTCCTGTGTGGTTTTTGCGCCTGCGTTCCATTAAAGCGCACCTTTACTCCATTGACTAACAATAACAGCAGCAAACAGCTCTGCATGCTGATATGAAATCATCTTCCATCCGTTAGCTAAACAAACATTTTTATTTTACTTACAATGATTGTTTTTCCACTTCCTGGTCCTCTTGGGCATTAGTGATTTAATCTGCGCCCAAGTGTTGCATCCCGGGAAGGTGACATCAGCAGAGCATTGCTGGGAAATCATCTGTAATCTCATGACATCTCAGGGAAAGGCATTTTCCTCCCCTGAGATGATGTGCATGGTCACATGTCCTAGTCACATGTGCCAAAGTTCCAGGAAGTAAAGGGAGATGAATTAATCTGCCCTTAGTAAACATGGCCACTGGCAGAAGAATAGGGAAGAAATCAGGAATGCAAAGAATACTAAAGCCGGCAATTATCTAGAAGTATGTGTTTGTAGATTGTTATTACTAAACAGTTCTAAAGGTGTGTGTGTTGTGATTTTAAAGGTAAAGTTCATCTTTACAGAGCTTTCCCTTCAGTTCCTGTTGTAGAGACACAACGGGAAGCGAGAGGAAATCTTGAGCAGTTCTCACCCCAAAACAGAAAATTGGAGGATTTCCCTTCACCTTCTAATGTGTTGACAGCCATAACATTTCGTTTTTTTTCCCCCATACTTTTCACCCACGGACAGGAAGCCTCCTAGGCCTAGACAACTCTCCCCCTTATTTCCTCTCCTTCATAACCCAGAAATGTTCTGTAGTCCACAAAGTCCAAGGGAATAAATGGCCGCACACCGCAAAAAAACGGCCGATACTTCTGCGCCTGGGAGTGACT